ATGACAGACAAAATGAGAAAAAAATTCCAGAAAATCACATTGTAGGATTTTTAATGAATTTATTTGCAAATTATGGTGGAAAATAAGTAGTTGGTCAATAACAAAAGTTTCTCAATACTTTGTTATATACCCTTTGTTGGCAATGACACAGGTCAAACGTTTTCTGTAAGTCTTCACAAGGTTTTCACACACTGTTGCTGGTATTTTGGCCCATTCCTCCATGCAGATCTCCTCTAGAGCAGTGATGTTTTGGGGCTGTCGCTGGGCAACACAGACTTTCAACTCCCTCCAAAGATCTTCTATGGGGTTGAGATCTGGAGACTGGCTCGGCCACTCCAGGACCTTGAAATGCTTCTTACGAAGCCACTCCTTCGTTGCCCGGGCGGTGTGTTTGGGATCATTGTCATGCTGAAAGACCCAGCCACGTTTCATCTTCAATGCCCTTGCTGATGGAAGGAGGTTTTCACTCAAAATCTCACGATACATGGCCCCATTCATTCTTTCCTTTACACGGATCAGTTGTCCTGGTCCCTTTGCAGAAAAACAGCCCCAAAGCATGATGTTTCCACCCCCATGCTTCACAGTAGGTATGGTGTTCTTTGGATGCAACTCAGCATTCTTTGTCCTCCAAACACGACGAGTTGAGTTTTTACCAAAAAGTTATATTTTGGTTTCATCTGACCATATGACATTCTCCCAATCCTCTTCTGGATCATCCAAATGCACTCTAGCAAACTTCAGATGGGCCTGGACATGTACTGGCTTAAGCAGGGGGACACGTCTGGCACTGCAGGATTTGAGTCCCTGGCGGCATAGTGTGTTACTGATGGTAGGCTTTGTTATTTTGGTCCCAGCTCTCTGCAGGTCATTCCCTAGGTCCCCCCGTGTGGTTCTGGGATTTTTGCTCACCGTTCTTGTGATCATTTGACCCCACGGGGTGAGATCTTGCGTGGAGCCCCAGATCGAGGGAGATTATCAGTGGTCTTGTATGTCTTCCATTTCATAATAATTGCTCCCACAGTTGATTTCTTCAAACCAACCTGCTTACCTATTGCAGATTCAGTCTTCCCAGCCTGGTGCAGGTCTACAATTTTGTTTCTGGTGTCCTTTGACAGCTCTTTGGTCTTGGCCATAGTGGAGTTTGGAGTGTGACTGTTTGAGGTTGTGGACAGGTGTCTTTTATACTGATAACAAGTTCAAACAGGTGCCATTAATACAGGTAACGAGTCGAGGACAGAGGAGCCTCTTAAAGAAGAAGTTACAGGTCTGTGAGAGCCAGAAATCTTGCTTGTTTGTAGGTGACCAAATAATTATTTTCCACCATATTTTGCAAATAAATTCATTAAAAATCCTACAATGTGATTTTCTGGATTTTTCTTCCTCAATTTGTCTGTCATAGTTGACGTGTGCCTATGATGAAAATTACAGGCCTCTCTCATCTTTTTAAGTGGGAGAACTTGCACAATTGGTGGCTGACTAAATACTTTTTTCCCCCACTGTATATGTTCTGTTCTGTGTTGTTTACTCAGCTGTAGGTTCATAGTTCATAGTTCAGTCCAGGCAGTAGTACTGAGTGTTTTGTACTGTTCTGTACTGTACCCATGGTGCCAACCAGGCAAGAAGATGAGATGGGTTCACTGCTCATTGCTCCATATGCTGTTCATATACGCTGAGTATACAAAACATTATGAACACCTGCGTTTTGATTTACACAACATGCCTACCACTTTGAAGATGCAAAATATTTTTTGGGGTGAAACAAACAAGAAATAAGACCAAAAAAAAGAAAACTTGAGCGTGCTTAACTATTCACCCCCCCCCAAAGTCAATACTTTGTAGAGCCACCTTTTGCAGCAATTACAGCTGCAAGTCTCTTGGGGTATGTCTCTATAAGCTTGGCACATCTAGCCACTAGGATTTGTGCCCATCCTTCAAGGCAAATCTGCTCCAGTTCCTTAAAGTTGGATGGGTTCTGCTGGTTTACAGCAATCTTTAAATCATACCACAGATTCTAAATTGGATTGAGGTCTGGGCTTTGACTAGGCCATTCCAAGACATTTACATTTTTCCCATTAAACCACTCAAGCGTTGCTTTAGCAGTATGCTTAGGGTCATTGTCCTGCTGGAAGGTGAACCTCCGTCCCAGTCTCAAATCTCTGGAAGACTGCAACAGGTTTCCCTCAAGAATTTCCCTATATTTAGCGCCATCCATCCTTCCTTCAATTCTGACCAGTTTCCCAGTCCCTGCCGATGAAAAACATCCCCACAGCATGATGCTGCCACCACCATGCTTCACTGTGGGGATGGTGTTCTCGGGGTGATGAGAGGTGTTGGGTTTGCCCAGACATAGCGTTTTCCTTGATGGCCAAAAAGATCAATTTTAGTCTCATCTGACCAGAGTACCTTCTTCCATATGTTTGGGGAGTCTCCCACATGTCTTTTGGCGAACACCAAACATGTTTGCTTATTTTTTTCTTGAAGCAATGGCTTTTTTCTGGCCACTCTTCCGTAAAGCCCAGCTCTGTGGAGTGTACGGCTTAAAGTGGTCCTATGGACAGATACTCCAATCTCCGCTGTGGAGCTTTGGTATCTTTGTTGCCTCTCTCATTAATGCCCTCCTTGCCTGGTCCGTGAGTTTTGGTGGGTGGCCCTTTCTAGGCAGGATTGTTGTGGTGCCATATTCTTTCCATTTTTTAAATAATGGATTTAATGATGCTCCGTGGGATGTTCAAAGTTTCGGATATTTTTTTATAACTCAACCCTAATCTGTACTTCTCCACAACTTTGTCCCTGACCTGTTTGGAGAGCTCCTTGGTCTTCATGGTGCCGCTTGCTTGGTGGTGCCCCTTGTTTTGTGGTGTTGCAGACTTTGTTGCCTTTCAGAACAGGTTTATATATACTGTGACAGAACATGTAACACTTAGATTGCACACAGGTGGACTTTATTTAAGTAATTACAGTAAGATAAAAAAATGATTTGCATTTTAATGAGGGAAATAAGTATTAAACCCACTCTCAATCAGAAAGATTTCTGGCTCCCAAGTGTTTTTTATACAGGTAACGAGCTGAGATTAGGAGCACACTCTTAAAGGGAGTGCTCCTAATCTCAGTTTGTTACCTGTATAAAAGACACCTGTCCACAGAAACAATCAATCAATTAGATTCCAAACTCTCCACCATGGCCAAGACCAAAGAGCTCTCCAAGGATGTCAGGGACAAGATTGTAGACCTACACAAGGCTGGAATGGGCTACAAGACCATTGCCAAGCAGCTTGGTGAGAAGGTGACAACAGTTGGTGCGATTATTCGCAAATGGAAGAAACACAAAAGAACTGTCAATCTCCCTCGGCCTGGGGCTCCATGCAAGATCTCACCTCGTGGAGTTGCAATGATCATGAGAACGGTGAGGAATCAGCCCAGAACTACACGGGAGGATCTTGTCAATGATCTCAAGGCAGCTGGGACCATAGTCACCAAGAAAACAATTGGTAACACACTACGCCGTGAAGGACTGAAATCCTGCAGCGCCCGCAAGGTCCCCCTAATCAAAAAAGCACATATACAGGCCCGTCTGATGTTTGCCAATGAACATCTGAATGATTCAGAGGAAAACTGGGTGAAAGTGTTGTGGTCAGATGAGACCAAAATTGAGCTCTTTGGCATCAACTCAACTCGCCGTGTTTGGATGAGGAGGAATGCTGCCAATGACCCCAAGAACACCATCCCCACCGTCAAACATGGAGGTGAAAACATTATGCTTTGGGGGTGTTTTTCTGCTAAGGGGACAGGACAACTTCACCGCATCAAAGGGACGATGGACGGGGCCATGTACCGTCAAATCTTGGGTGAGAACCTCCTTCCCTCAGCCAGGGCATTGAAAATGGGTTGTGGATGGGTATTCCAGCATGACAATGACCCAAAACACACGGCCAAGGCAACAAAGGAGTGGCTCAAGAAGAAGCACATTAAGGTCCTGGAGTGGCCTAGCCAGTCTCCAGACCTTAATCCCATAGAAAATCTGTGGAGGGAGCTGAAGGTTCGAGTTGCCAAACGTCAGCCTCGAAACCTTAATGACTTGGAGAAGATCTGCAAAGAGGAGTGGGACAAAATCCCTCCTGAGTTGTGTGCAAACGTGGTGGCCAACTACAAGAAACGGCTGACCTCTGTGATTGCCAACAAGGATTTTGCCAACAAGTACTAAGTCATGGTTTGCAGAGGGGTCAAATACTTATTCCCCTCATTAAAATGTAAAATCAATTCATAACATTTTTGACATTTGTTATTCTGTCTCTCACTGTTCAAATAAACCTACCATTAAAATTATAGACTGATCATGTCTTTGTCAGTGGGCAAACGTACAAAATCAGCACGGGATCAAATACCTTTTTCCCTCACTGTATGTGACTTCTGAAGGTAATTGGTTGCACCAGATCTTATTTAGGGGCTTCATAGCAAAGGGGGTGAATACATATGCACGCACCACTTTTGCATTTTTGAAAAAAGTTATTTTTTTCGTTTCACTTCACCAATTTGGACTATTTTGTCTATGTCCATTACGTGAAATCCAAATAAAAATCCATTTAAATTACAGGTTGTAATGCAACAAAATAGGAAAAATGCCAAGGGGGATGAATTCTTTTGCAAGGCACTGTAAATGTGACATACCTCACCCCCAGCCACCCCCAGCCACCCACAGGCTAACACCCTCAGAGAAGGAGCTGCCGATTGGATGATGTACTTTCTGTCTTTGCTGACTGCAGGGTTAGTATGGGGTCAGGATGAGGTCATACAGTCCTCTGGTATAAGGTCTCCAGATTGCAGTGGTGTGTTTTGGGGAAGTCATGAGGAACCTATATATTAGTATGTACCATGCCTGGGTTGTTTCTGTAATGATTCTTCATGATGTTGGCGTCCATTACATTTCATGTTCAGTCAGTTTAGAAACGCACCATTTACTTCCGTGTTAACTTGTGTGTGTGTGTTCCCAGCTGTGTGTGAACATGACCAATGAGCGTGTGAGGCAGCACATCTCCGAGGTGCTGTTCCAGCAGGAGCAGGCCGAGTGTCTACAGGAGGCCATTGCTATGGAGACGCTCCGTTCGCCCAGCAACCAACCCGCTGTTCTAGACTTCTTCTTCCTGGTAATATTTTTGTCCCTGCCGTGCCACACCGCCCCTTTAAGAACTGGGATTACCCCTTTAACAACAAGACATATCTCATTCCTGAAAAGGCTTTGGAGTTTGTTTTGGTTTTGAGTGTGGTTAAATAGATTTTGAGGTACAACGTTGTCCTCAACCGCAGAGATCTAGGATCAGATTACACTACCTCAAATTCTAACATGAAACATTTAGGGGCTGTGCATTACAATTGTCTCCCATGTGTGGTTCTATGCATTCTATATCTACGTCTGTGACCCCTGTCCTCCATCTTCCCAGAAGCCTCAGGGTCTGCTGTCTGTGATGGATGAGGAGAGTCAGTCGCTGAGACCTACAGAACAGACCCTCTACAAGAGACTGCAGACATACCTCGACAACACACCCACACACGGCATCTCCCTGACAACCAAGGACGGCAACGGCAACCCCCCGCCCATAGACCAGGGTCCTGCCTTCACTGTGAAACACTACACAGGCCAAGTGAGTGGGCATTCACACACACACACACACACACACTCACATCGGCTATGTTGTGTGTATGTATCTGTCATGCAATTGGTGGACCTTTAACATGTTGTTGTCTGTCTGTTCTCTGATTGGTAGATGGCCTATGACCTCACAGGAACACTGGTGAAGAACAAGGACTCCCTCCCCCAAAACCTGCTTCTTGTTCTGAAGTGTAAGTATCAGTCAAAATACACACACACACACACACACACACACACACAGACACAACACACACACACACACACACACACACACACACACACACACACACACACACACACACAACACACACCACACACACACACACCACACACCACACACACACACACACACACAAACCCCCCCCGTCCCAACACACTCCCACCTCATCCAAACTCAATACCACAGCAAGATGTCTATTAATTAATGGTGTGTGTATTGATAGCAGCAGTAGTGTTATAATTCTCTTGGCGTTGCCCCAGATGTGTGCCTGGTGTTTTTGTAATTATAGCAGAGAAGGACACAGGCAGGCATTGTGTTAGAGCCAGGATCAGCAAGTTTTAGTGTCCTCTGGAGGCTAATTAAAACTGTTGTTGGCTGTCATTATATAATGAGCCAATCAAGGCCTACCACCCCTTTGGAGTGGCTTTTGTACCTCTCCCCCTGTCCTCACCTCCCTGTCCTCTCTCCTACCTCTCTGAGAGATCTCCTCTCCCGGTCTCATCTCCCCCCTGCCTCTCCTCCCTCCTCCCTGTCCCTCTCTCCTGCCTCTTCTCTCCCTGCCTCTCTCTCCCTGCCTCTCTCCCCGCCTTCTCCCTGTCTCTCTCCCTGCCTTCTCTTCTTCCTCTCTCCTCCCTTCTCCCTGCCTCTCTCCCTGTCTCCTTCTCTCCTCCCTTTCTTTCTCTCCCCCCGCCTCTCTCCCTCCCCTCTCCCCCCTCCTCTTTTCCCTCTCCCCCTTCTCTCCCTCCCTTCTCTCTCCCTGCCTCCCCCCCCTCTCCCCTGCCTCTCTCCCCTCTCTCTCCCTGCCCTCTCCCGTCTTTTCCCCCTGTCTTTCTCCCTGCCCCCCCCTGTCTCTCTTCCCTGTCTCTCTCCTTTCCCCTCCCTTTCCCTCCCTTCCCTCTCTCCCGTCTCTCCCCCTCCCCTCCCTGTCTCTCCTTCCCTCCCCTCTCCCCCCTGCCCTCCCTGCCCTTTCCTCCTTTTCCCCCTGTCTCTCTCTGGTCTCCCTCCCTGCCCCTCTCTCCCTGCCCTCTCCCCCTCCCCCTTTCCTCCTCCCTGTCTTCTCCTGTCTCCTCCCTGCCCCCCCTTCCTCCTTTTCTCTCCCCTTCTCTCTCCCTGCCCCTCTCCCTGTCTCTCTCCCCCTTCTCCTTGAGTCTCCTCCCCTGTCCCTCCCCCCCTTCTCCCCCTGCCCCTTTCTCCCCCCCCTTCTCCCTCCCCCTCCCGGTCTCCTCCCTCCTCTCCCCCCCTCCCCTTCCTCCCTTCCCCTCCTTTCCCCCGGGTCTCTCTCCCTTCTCCTCCCTCCCCCACCCCTCCCCCTTTTCCTCTTTCCCCCCCCGTCTCTTCCTTCTTCTCCCTGTCTTCCCCCTTTTTGGCCCTCCCCCTCTCCTTCCCTTCGCTCCCCCCGGGGGCCTCTCTCCCTTCTCTTCCCTGTCTCCTCCCGGCCACCTCCCTCTCTCCCCTGCTCTTTTTCCCCCTCCTCTTTTCCCTCCTCTCCCTTCTCTCCCCCCTTTCCCTCCCTTCTCTCTCCCCTTGCTCTCTCCCTGCCCTCTCCCTTCTCTTCCTCTCTTCCTCTCCCCCTTTTCCCTTTTTGTCTCCCCCCCTTTTCCTCTTCTCCCCTTTCCTCCCCTCCCCCTCTCTCCCCTTTCTCTCTCCGTCTCTCTCCCTGCCCTCTCCCCCTCCTCTCCCTCCTCCTCCCCCCCTCTCTCCCTTTCTTCTCCCTTCCTCTCCCTCCCTCCTTCCCCCTGCTCTCTCCCCCTCTCCCCCCCTCCCTCTCTCCCTTCTCCCCCCTCCCTCCCTTCCTCCCCCCTCCCTTCCCTGCTCTCCCCGCCTTCTCCCCTCTCTCCCTCCCTTCCTCCTCCCTTTCCCCTCCTCTCTTCCTCCCCCCCTCCCCCTGTCTTTTCCCCCCCCGTCTCCCCCCTGCCCTCCCCCTGTCTCTCTCCCTGCCTCTCCCCCCCTCCTCCTCCCCTCCCTCTCCCTGCCTCTCTCCCTTCCTCTCCTCCCCCCGCTTTCTCTCTCTCTCTTCTCTCCTGTCCTCTCTCTGAGTCTCCTCTCCCTGTCCTCTCCCGTCTCGCTCCCTGTCTCTCTCCATGTCTCACTCCCTGTCTCTCTCCGTTGCTTTTGTTCTTTTGTGCATATACGCACAATGTTCACATACATAAAGACATACGTGCACACACATAAAGGTCAAAGGGTAAAGGTGAAATAAGATTGAGAGGTGCTGAGGGGTATGGAGAGAGGTCTTTGGGCCTCGTAGTCAGGTGGTAGTGTTGGTAGTGATGATGATTACATAAATGAATAGACAATTACCTCTGGAAACCACAGTCATTACACCCTACAAGTCTAGGAAATTCCTTTCAAGATCTCTCTGTCTCTCTCCCACACACACATGCCTGTCTCAAAGACCTCATTGTTGTTGAGGGCTGCTCCACGTGTTCTGTGGCAGAATTCTCAGCCTACTCTCTTATGGAGATGATTGTTTACATGCCTATTATTTTGCTCCATTCCCTCCCCCTCACTCTTCCTCTTTTTCCCTCCCCCTTTCCTTCCAATCATCCTTCTCCTCTTAATCTCCTCATGTCTCCTGTCTGCTTCCTTTCTCATATCCTGCTCCCACTGCTCCTCTCCTCCAATCCTCTCCTCTCCCCTCCCCTCTCTCCCTCTCCCCTCTCTCCTCTCTCTCGCTCTCTCTCCTCCTCTCCCCCTCTCTCCTCTCCTCCTCTCTCTCGTCCTCTCTCTCTCTCTCTCCTCTCTCTCCTCTCTCTCCTCTCTCTCTCTCTCTCTCTCCCTCTCCCTCTCCCTCTCCCTCTCCCTCCTCTCTCTCTCTGTGTGATCCCTTGTGCAGCCAGTGAGAGTGTGTTGGTGCAGCAGTTGTTCCAGTCCAAGCTGACCCAGACTGGGTCTCTGGTACCGGCCCAGGCCAGAATGGCTCTGAGAGGGCCCAAAGCAGCCCTGCTCCTTCACAGGATGTTATCCCCCTCCACCTTCTCCCCCGCATGCCGTGAGCCCCGGCGGTACCTGGACCTCACCAAGGTACTAGATGATGGCTGGTATACCATATGTCATATAGCGTGTAGCATACCATACCACATACCCTCACCAAGGTATGGAGGACTAAGTGACATAACCATTTACGATATGACATACCATTCATAGACATACATTGTGTGTCACTCACTAATGTACAGTAGACAAGACAGTGATAGCCCTAATAACTCATGAGCCATACCTATACCACAACTCTCCAAACAGCCACTATGGTATTTATTCAGTACTCATCAATGGAACCTTTCCAGGTAAAATCAATAAGACCTCAGTAAAGTACCACAATCAGTGTGTCGGTTCACTACTGGGTGTACTAGTCAGTGTGATGTATTTGCCATCATGGTCAATAGAAATGACAAGCAGCTAAAAGCATCCCTCATCAGAACACTTTAAATTGGTCATCCCCTTATGGTGATTGGTGGTTAGGGGAGGTGGGGATGACCAATGGTGAAGGCAGGATATGTCCATGTCTGTGACACACTCTGTTAGAAGCTGGGGGCTCCGATTGGAAAAGTAGCAGCCGGGAGCAGAGGATCGATGGAAAAGCAGGGTGTGTGTGTTTTTAAAGAAACATATTTCCCAAAATAGGCCAATTCCCACCAGACAGCTAAATATAGACTTCTGGGAATAGCTTTATTTGCCAGCTAATAGAGTACATTTAGACACACACACACAAATATGTGGTAAGAGAGTGTCATATCCATTTTCTCATTACATTTTAAGGGTACACAAACCAAACACCCCTCTGTTAGAAAACATTGTGTTCTTACAACGATGCCAGATTTCATAACTTCCGCTGGAGTACTTAACTTCTACTCTCTCTCTCTCTCTTCTCTCTCTCTCTCTCTCTCTCTCTCTCTCTCTCTCTCTCCTTCTCTCTCTCTCTCTCAATCTCCCTCTCTCCTCTCCTCTCTCTCTCCCCTCTCTCGTCCCCTCTCCATCTCTCTCATTCCTCTCTCTCTCGTCTCCTCTCTCCTCTCCTCTCTCTCTCCTCTCCTCTCTCTCTCTCTCTCTCTCTCTCTTACAATGTAATTACTTAATTTTGAATGGATTAGAGGAAATATATTTTTGTGGAGATATGAATATGGATTTTTTTTAACACCAACTGTCCAATGAGAAAGATAGGTATTTATGTTGCCAATGTATGTAACCTGACCCAGGTTATGACATCACCAACCAGAACGTTCACTAACAGGTCCGGTATCACATCATCAACTTGTATTGATCACATTTTTGCTAACATGGCTGAACATTGTTCTAAAGCTGTATCAGTGGCACTAGTTTGTTTATGAAATTATTTATGGGTATTGCTGATAAACATGCCCCTTTAAGAAAATGCACTGTGAGGTCAAGCGGTGCCCCATAGATTGATGATGAGCTGAGACATGTTATGATTCAACGTGATGATGCCAAAAAAAGCAGCAGATAAATCTGACACTGTTTGATAAGCAAAGTTATTGTAAATTAAGAAATCTTGTGACCAAGCTAAACAAAAGGAAAGAAGAAGGGTTTCTATCAGCACAAAATTGATGAAGTAAAAGGGTGATGGGAAAAAACTGTGGAGAACGTTGAACGCTATTATTGGTAGGAATTCGAACATGTCCGCCTCTTTTGTTGAATCAGAGGGTATATTTATTACAAAACCACTCGCTAACTGCTTTAATGAATATTTTACTGGCAAAGTGGACAAGTTGAGGAATGCCATGAGTCCAACTGATGGCTCCATGTCATATACCTTTATAAAATATTGTATCATGAAGGAGAGGCAATGCATGTTCGAATTTCAACAAGTAGAAGGGGAAGAGGTTGAAAGGATGCTGTTGTCTCTTTCGGATGACAAGTCACCTGGTACAGATAAA